GTGTTAATGGTGCTCAACTTTGAGGGGGGTGTGAGGGAAATAGGGTAAGATATCGAAGGTCGTGGTCTGTTGGTCTGTTCAGACGAGGCTCACACCCATAAGTGTGGTAGGGATCTGGCATCAGCAGGAGGAGATCAGTGTATGCATGTGCTCGTGGCAGTATTAGGAGGGGCGACCCCGCGTCCGCACAGCAAGTATGGGCGCAACACACAAAGGAGGAGAGCATGTTCACAGCATGGGGTCTCTCTCAGGAGGGGTCACACAGTGTTCCCAAATGAAGCAGGGGACTACCATGGATGAACCAGGGGTCGTTCACTGCCCGAGGTTTCCCGGACCACAGGCTCTACAGTTTCCACAAGCCACCCATGGGCATGGGCGGCCCATGGGCAACCCATGGGAAGCCCATGGGCGGCCAACGAGAGCCCTTCAACCGGACCGGTGTATTCCTGAACAATATATTATCTGCTTTGGAACGGGCGCTATATAGTCTAGCCGCTAATAACCCTAACGCGAACCCAACACTAACCCCAAGCCCGCACGATACGTGCTAGGTTGGCGCTGTGGTGGCTAAGAGTTCTACTGCTGTAGGTTGATATGCCGGTGGCGAAGTTCTAGGTTGAAGTTCGGCCCATGAACCGCCCATGGGCTGCCCATGGGTGACCCATGAGTGTCCCATGGGCGGTTTTCCAAGCAAAACACTGCGCCGTGTCCCCTGTGAAGGTTACATTTTACAATACACGACACAACGGAGGGTTTCTCCCCGATATTTTGTCGTTGACCCAGTAGAGAACTACAGGGGATGTATTGTAAAATGTAAGTTACCTATACAGACAGATGTTTTTGTACTTAGCACCAGCTGACATCACTGGTATAAATCATCAGTGTATAGACTTAAAAAGACTCGAAATAAGTCCAGTACCCAGCCGGTTTCCCTCCACTCACTGAAAAGACTCCACCACATGTGGAAGGTTGTGTTGTACAACCTGGTGTTTTGGCAGAACGGTTAGAAAGATCAAAGGGGGCACCGTAGGTAAGAGATAATTGATAGATAGGTAGGCATGTGTACCGGAAAGAAAAGAAAAGAAAGAGATGCACCTTGCCCACAACAGAAGAAACATCTGAACGAAAGAGCAAGACAACAAACAAACAAGAGGAGGAGGAGTAGAAGAGAGACAGAGGAGGAAGAAGAAGGAAGCGAGCGTACGGAAGGGAGGAGACAGACAGAGAAAGAGAGCAAGAGCATCGTCGGTTCATTTTTCACCAGCGTAGAAGGCAGGGGGACTTTGAGGATTGAGTCACGCCTATCGCCGTCCGTGCATACAGGGGGGAGAGCGCGCCACGCAAGACCTAGGCAGACGCGCTCCAATTCACCAATGGTAGTTAGGCGCGACCAGTCAGACTTACGTCAGTCGCCGGGG